TTGAATTAATCTGTTACAGCACTTTTTACACATCTACACCAATTGCTACTCCCCTGCGAAAAAATCTGCTTCTGCCGATGCAGGAGAAAGAGGTTGCCATAATTAAAAGTTATTCCTCCGGAATCAGCCATTTATTCCGTTCCTGCCTTCATATTTTAATTTTGCTCAGAATCATTACGCTAGTACATGGTCCCTGATGACTCCATCCGCCGACAGAAGACCCACCCACTTTTTAATAAGTTTAACAAGAAAGGGACATTTATTCCGCCTTCTAGTGTAACCTATTCGCATACTTAGTATTATATGTTAACGCTGAACTTGAACTCCATTGTACATAAAATAGGAGAAATTCGCCGTAGTAGTTTTTATCGCCGGTAGCTGTCTTGAATTTGCACACTGGCCAGTTTCTGGCCTCGCCATTATAGAGTCGTGTAGAGTGCTGAAGACAGACATCAGTATCTAGCTCAAGCCACCATTTAGCTCGAGTATATGACCAAAGGAAACCCTGGTAATGGCGAGGAAATCTGTTCAAGACTATCAAAAAAGGCATACAATGGAACAACCGGTTGTGCATCCGATGCAGAAAAGAGACAGAACAAGGGACAACTTTGTCAGATCAACAATGGGTCTGATGAAGCGGTCAAATAGAATAAGCCGGCTCTATGACGCTGATATGTACGTCCTCGTGCGGTGGAAAAATAGGCATTATATGTATTGCTCTACGGAGGAGCAAAGCTTCCCCCCAGCTGCTGGGATCCTGGTGAGAGAAGTAACATTTTTTGTGGTAAGACAAGGAGGCTGACTACATCGGCAGCACAAAGTATATCCCCCAGTAGTAAAGAAAAAACCGGCAGACTTCGTAGAGAAAGATAGGAGGAACGTCGTGAAGAAGAAATAAGTGCGTGGTATCTATTACATAGTTCAATACAAAGACTCCTATCGACAGAAGCGATGAATTCTCATAGTCGAAAGTACATTTTCAAGCCCATCCGTGATATGGCACTCGCACTCAATTGAGAACGAGTCAATCATCAGGACACGTTGTTCTAACCGTAGCACCATTATACGGCGAACAACGTTAAATTAACTTGGCTATGACTCGAGCAGCTGGATTAAAATAAATTTGTAACTTTCGTGTGAACACTGCTGGCTGCCACACCTGTGAAGAAAATCACCTGGCGCCGAATGCCCAGGCTCCTCAAACTCGTGGGTTGGCCCCACTGACCTCAACTGGACGAACTTCACTGAGGTACTGCGTCTCAGTTTCGCGGAGCTCCCTGAGCCTCCCTAGGTCACACGAAGCCTCCCTGAGCCACAAAGAGCCTCCCTGAGCCACAGAGAGCCTCCCTGAGCTACCAGAGCTACCCTGAGCAACACGAAACATAGCTACCCCGAGCCGCTTTAAGCAAACTGAGCATCCCTCATTGGGCTAGCATCAACAGACCCCAGCCTAGAGGCTGAACCTCGTACGAAAATCGCCGACCATTGACCCTGATGATGCGAATTGGTACAGTGCTGCATACATCATTCGTGTGCGACAAGACGATTGCTTGGAGCAGCCACTTTTGCCGCTGCACTCGCTGGAGGAGTGAGACGCACAAAGCTTCGTCAGGAAAGGAAAAATCATGTGAAGCAATTACTTTCCACTGATCACGCGCTGACGCATTGAGTGGGCGATTACTGCAACTTGCATGACCACTTTCTCGTTCATCAGCTCACCAACAACTAGTTTTGTCCTATCTCCCCCCCTTCCCCGCAATGCAATACACAGCCAAAAAAGGACGATTCATAGCAATAGAACACCAACTCAATCTGTTGCAACGAAAGCGCAAACGTTTGCAGCAACTAGAACAGTGTCGGCTTATGGCTGGCGCCTCGCGTGCAGTAGACCGCAATGGCACTGGTGCTTGCGCGCGGCTCACGCTTCGGCTTGGAGAAGGGCGGGCTTGCAGCTGACGACACGACCGAAGAGAGCCGCACAGTCAATTCTCGGTTGAGGGCGTTCACATCTGCGTAACGATGCAACCTGGTGCATGCTGAAGAGTATTGCCTAAAGATCTTAAAAGAAATCATTGAGGGCGTTCACATCTGCGTAACAGATAATATTATATCAAGCATGTACTCAAGTTTCAACAAAATTCTCCCTCTATTAATATCTGCCGACACTTTGTTCTTTGAATGATTTTTTATTGTATTTTAGTACTACATGGTCCCTGAGCTAAGTTTCGTAGAATAATGCACCTGTAAGGTGTTCTGCGACCGCCCTGGATACTTGTCTGTAAAGCACTTGTGGATCTCCTTCCATGAAAGTCTTTGGCCCTTCAATTGTCTGAGTAACATATTTTGCTCATCAGTAAATGCCACTCGTGTACGTCCTCCCTTTACTTGAATTGGGTCAGGCATTTTGCGGTGATCTGTTGCCGCTTCTCGAGCGCTCCGAAGAATACTCTTCGGCGCCGCTTCTATTCGATAGCCACCAGGAGTGCGCATAGCTGTCTGTTTTTCTCGCAGCACCGCGCCATGATGACGTGCATCGGCATACATCGGTGTCATTGATGGCCGATTTCCGCGGTTCGAATTGTCGTCTGAGGACTGATCACTGAAGCGGACAGAAGGCTGGCATTGCCGGGTAATCTTGGCGCGGTCGCCATCACTGGCCACGTCGGTTTGGGTTTTCGTGTCAGCAGGAGAAGATCTTCGCAGAAGCAGACTAGCGCGTGGCCGCACTGCAGTCCGTTCTCTCCGATTAGGCTGCTACTGTGTGTTAGCTAGACTGCTACCATAACACTGTCGTTGTTGGAGTGGAGGGAACGGTATGAGTGGTGCTGTACCTACGTTTTCGAATGTGCTGGCGCGTGGTACACTGCTAAAAGAGCCATTGCCCGATGTCACAGGGCTTCGCCTCTCCCCTTTATATTCTGACGATGCAACTTTGGACGCATGATAGCTTGTGGGCTTTTGTCGCTTGCTTGGTCTGCCATTTTCGTCATCCGCATCATTGGTTGAGGCCGTGTAGTTGCGATTATGGGCTTCTGTCGACACGGGCGAGTATCCTGCGTAGTACTTTGTACGGCGACTGGCTGAATCTTCTTCGCGTCTATTGGCCGGTTCAAGTCTCTGTCGCTTGCTTGACCTGCCATTTCTGTCGTCCACATCATTGGCCGAGGCCGTGAAAATGCGTTTATTTGCCTCTGCCGTCGCGGGCAAGTATCCTGCATCGTATCTTGTGCGGCGGTCAACTGACATTTCTCCGCTGGTTATAGCATGCTCAAGCCTCTCCTGTCGCTTATTTGTATTGTTGCTGTTTCGATCCGTATGATTGGCGGAGTTTCCGAATTTCCGGCTGTCGTCCCGAGCCACGAGGATGGAGCTTTCAGCTGCACGTTTCCTGCTGCGCCGGTCGTTTTTACAGCCAATGCTTGCATTGTTCTTTTTGCTGTCGGCCTCATAACTGTTGCCAACTCGTAGATGAATGCCGTGAACGACTTGCGCGTGAGCCATAAACTCTTGCTTGTGCTCAAGTAGAACGCCTGAGCATGCAGGGCACTCTAATGTTTGGCCCTCTTGCAGATTTTGAAGATGAAAGCGACGAAAGTGTTTGTTCAAGTCTGATGAAGAGTAAAAATCTGCGGTAAGAGACGAAAATCCCGAATCAATAGAGTCAGGGCGAAGTGCGTTGCCAACACACACGAAGCACTTCCGTGGTCGTTTGACGGCATCATCTACCATAACCGACTTCAGCACCGCATCTTTCCGAGTCTCGTTATTTAATTCCAAATCATTAGCCTGCTGAACCGGTCTGACAGGCTCTGCACGACGCCGTCGGGAGGGGGGGCCTTCGTAGACCCGGCAGTAGGCCATGATGGCAGAAATGGCTTCATTTCTCTGCGGAAAGTATTCCTCGACCTTTTTAGAAGGCGGAACATTCAATGCTTCCGTGAATCTCATTTGTTCTTGTCCTTGGGGTGCGCTTGCGGTGTCCTCCGCTGGCGGTTTGAAGCCAATACCGTGCAGCTGTCGCTGAATGTCCTCCACTGCCTGTTCAGCCGTCCATTCGTCGAGCATTTTCTGTTTCTCTTCATTTTGAAGCCGAAGTTTGACTTTCGATAAATCTTTGACGGCTTTGCTGTAGTCTTCGGAGCCCCGCGCATGTTGTAGTACTTCTTTTTGCAGCCTTACAACCGTCGGATGTGATTTAATTATCTCGTGCTGTTCAGTTGTAAGGTGTCTTGGCCGTCGCTTGCTCGCCGAATGGCCCAAACTAGTTGCTTGTATCATCATGGCCTGCTTTGGCTCCAGCCCTTGGACAATGGCCGATGTATCTACAGCAATCTCGCGGCCAAGATAGTGGTCTTGAAAAACTGAGGAATCCTGATGACCGAGGATCACGTTTCGCAGTGAGTCGCTGACGTGCGCTTGTGAAAGTTTAGCATCAAAAGTAGACTGGGGAAAACTAGACGTACGGTCTCGATCAAGTGCATTTCCGGTGTTGTAGCGGAGGCTGTAAGAGATAGTAGGGTACTCGCGCCCCAATATCTGCCCAATCATCCGTAACATTCTGTGCACCACGTTGTAAGGAAGCTGTTCCGCGGACATCTCGTATCCGGTGGCCGTTTTGATAATCTTGCGAAATAGGAAGGTGTCTTGGATGTCCTGTTTCAACGGAAGACTCAGCTCCCGGTCTCCTGAATGAATGTCAAGGAAGTCTAGCTGCTCAGGTGATATGAGGTCAGGGGCTCGAAATGCGCGATGATGAAACATCAGCCCCAATAAAAAGACATGAGTGCTAAGAAGGAACGATGAACCAAGAAAATGCTCAGGCAGAGGATGAGTTTTTCTGCCAACGAAGTCAGTTTCACCAGCAAAGGACCCTTCCAAGCAAAATCGCTTACGTAGCTTTAGGACCGAGCCATGTCTTCGTAAATCGCAGAGAAAATCGGATAAGAATTTGGTGTGGTCCACCCTCAGGATCTCTTGCCTTGGCAAAAGACAAATCTCCAAATGTCATCTTCAGTATAGACATTGGTCTAGATCCAGCCGGCGATAGCAGGAGAGTATATAATACAGCGAGCACTCGCATCTCGCCAAGGATGAAAGACTTTTCCGTAGTGGCGATGGTCGTTTGATTTTGGTCTTTCAGATCATCGATAGACATGCACC